GGAAGGCTTATGTTGGACTCGTGTGCGCCACAATGCCACCTTCTATGAGAACTCGACTGTTTGTCGGAGGTAACAAGTTGGAGGCTTATTCGAAGCGTGATGTGGCTTGTCCACAATCTACCATTATGTATACGGCCGTGTGTATTCACACTGTTGTCTGAACCTGCACAAAGATCCAGACGATCGTGATGTTTGTAGCAACAGGATACGATTCGACTGACAGTGGTTTTCCAAACACTGAAATATTACCTGCACTGTTTCATTGCGTGGTGCCATCGCATCACATTCCCTCCTGAGTCTTTTTAAAACATGATTCACATCTAACCAGCACCATTTCCATTTGAAGTGTTTTTCACACTTTCATGGTGAAACCACCAAAACAGCATAAACAGCTCGAAGTATAAATGAATTGAGTGCTTTGGCGGCACCGCTTTACTTGATAAACAAATAACGAGCTCCGCTTCAGCATTCTTTATTCTCTTTTCACGTAAAACATTTTACCTTAGTTTTGTCTGGTTAATGACGGTGGACCCACGCTTTCCCTAACTACACAATATTTAGCTGACACGCACTGTCTTCCAGGAGTCGATCTTCACACCGGTTGCATGGATCCCTATTCTTACCATCTGGGCTGTCATTCTCCCGATGTGGTTATGGGTTTATAAACAAACAGTTTCCAAACTGGTGGTTTGAGCGCGTGTTGTCATCCTAGGTCACGAATTGTTAAGTAGATTTATCACAGTGCCAAAATACCAACTAAATGTAAAGTAGGAATAAAATTGGGACTTGGGACACTTTGTGTTTCCTCCATCTTCCATTTGTCCGTTATGAAACATTGCCTCATGGAAAGCCATACCCTCTCCATGAACTTCATTCAATGATTAGTGAGGTTGACCAAGATCTAGGAAGTGAGAGACTGTGGTGTGATTATCACCTCCCACTTCAATGAGCATTTGGCATGTAGTCTGCTTTTCTGTTCGACAGGTGCACTCTATTCCGTTGACCAATGTTGTGGTGATCGGGGAAGATGTGTGATTAGAGGCAGCGCAGGAGATGACGAAGAAGAAATCCTTGGTCTGTTCTTTAATTTATACTCCTTTCTAAATTAGGCACAAACTCACCTCTAATTTCACTTTATTCACACGATTCCTTCTTGAAGCATAAAGCGTTACCAAATGCACCTCCATTACTGACTCACTTCTACTTCCCAACTGTCGGGTTGACATGTGATTGTTCAGGTCCGATGAAGGGTGAAAGACACTTGTCAACAGGTGTGCGGATCTCACTCTTGATTGTGATCTGGTCTAAGACTAGTGAACAAGTTGTCATTAACAATTCAGTCCAGAGTGTACCAATAAGCACGCGCACGCACAGGGAGGTAGTGTTGTGGAGACAAAGTAGTGGAGGTGTGAAGTGAGTGAACCTTCTCGGATGGACAATTCCTGTTGTGTCCAATTCAATCCACTTTGTGATAGCTGAGAAAGTTGTCATCGCAAGTCAGTGGGTGAGGCAGTAACAATTTCCTCTTGTACGGTGCTTTTGTGCAACCTTCACGGGGAAAGTGAAGAGCAGATCAGTAGTCCCTAAGGCATGTTTTCATCTCTTGTCAATGTATGACATATGCCATTCATTTGCCTAGCTTCTACCATGATATGGTCTGTTGAAATATGTGCGAACCAATGGTTTGTTTAAATCTTAGTTTTGATAGCGAACCACTTAGGACTCCACCGTTCGGCTTGTCCTTCGAGCCACGCCAGCAGCCTCTTCCTAACCCCTCTCAGCCCTTACATTCGCAGGCAATACTTGTTGTTCTTCTCAAATATTTTGTCCTTTCTCGTCTTCAGGGAAGCCTCGGGGCGCCACAAGTCAGGCCACGATATATTCATGAGCTCAGCAACGTGTTTCCCACATTT